TTTCTCCTTAGTTCCAGGTTGCTTCTCTCCTTGATCAGTTTCCACCCGTTGCTTCTCGTCCTGCCTTCAGGCACTTTGGAGAATAGCTTGACTCCCTCTTCTTTGTGGCAGCCCCTGAGATATTGGAACACTGCTATCAATGGGGGAAACTGACTTTGCTTAACAACCATGTGATTCACTTAACAACTGCAATGCTTTGCTTTACAACCTTGGCAAAAAAGGTCATAAAATTGGGCATGACTCATTTAACAGCTGCATTGCTTAGCAATGGATATTCTGATCTCAATTATGGTCATAAGGTGACAATTATCTGTATTGGATGGGAACTTTTGAGATGAAGAATCCGATTTATTTGCTTGGTTGGTTGATTTGCTATTAGGACTTCTATATGCAATTCTGAGTGGCCCACATGCCGTTGTAGGGTGGGAAGGTTAACAACATTAAATCATAGGAACAAAAAAAGCAGTGACAAAAAAAGATGTAAAAAAGATGTTGAGACTCTAGAAAGAGTACAGAGAGCAGCGACAAAGATGATCAGGGGACTGGAGGCTAAAACATATAAGGAATGGTTGCTGGAATTGGGTATGTCTAGTTTAATGAAGAGAAGGATGAGAGGGGACATGATAACAGTGTTCCAATATCTCAGGGGCTGCCACAAAGAAGAGGGAGGGCACCTGAAGGCAAGACAAGAAGCAATGGATAGAAGCTAACCAAAGAGAGAAGCAACCTAGAACTAAGAAGAAATTTCCTGACAGAACTATTAATCAGTGGAACAACCTGCCTCCAGAAATTGTGAATACTCCAATACTGGAAGTTTTTAAGAAGAGACTGGACAACCATTTGTCTGAAATGGTATAGGGTTTCCTGTATGAGCAGTCGTTGGGCTAGAAGACCTCCAATGTCCCTTCCATCTATTATTGTTGTTGTTGTTATATCATTGCAATAGACTATGCCAAGAGGAATCGCAAAACGCAAAATCAATTCGCAAATGGGAATCCAGCAAATCTGCTTCCAGGACCTCCTGAAAAGCCACAACAGTTGGCTTTCCAGAAAACCCCCCACAGAGTGGTGTGCAGTCTAATCTTAGATACAATACTTTCCATGGGAGGATTGCGACTGAAAGTCTTATCCCCGTTATCACTTTAGATTACACTTCTTCAAAAGGGGAAAAACCCAGATCTCCTCTCCCAGATCTTATACCCACAGCTCTTTGTTCAGCTTTCCAGATGCCTGGAATGCTCCTACAATCAGAGCTCATATTTACAGATAGTTCCTGAAGAGGAGTACTGAGAAAGACTTTTAATTATAACTCATCCCCTGAAGCAGTTCAGCTCTAGAGGTTTGTAGTATACTACAAACTGCTTACTGAAATGTGGAGTAAATGTGCAAGATATTTCAAACCTAACTCAACTACATGAGCAAAAAAAAAAATGTGGCATGGTAGGGGAGGAGACAGCAGTAAAGGAAGTATAAAGTCTCTGGAGAACTACCTGCGCTTTTAAAGGTATACAGCACATTATTTTTTAATCAATCATGGGGTTTAGGGCTTAGAACAGAGATTAGGAATCCGTAGCACTGTAGAGTTGTTATGAATTGGGCAGTATTATTAATTTTGTAAATATTCCAACATATCTAGCCAGATCCTCAAGACTCCTTTATATTATGTTAGAGATTTCATAAATTCTACTTTGTAAACAAACCACTTCCAGCATGGCACGTTGTTGCAAATTTTAAGAGATCCAGGAAGCAAATACTGTATCCAAAAGTATATAAAAGTATATAATGTAAGGGCAGAACACCAAGTTCTACTTTCACTATGTTTCTTTTTATGTAGAAATTCTGTAAATTTTGAAAGGTGATGATATATCACCTCTCCTTTACTTCCTATCACCCCCATTTTTTCCTGTTGTTCAATGGTGTCTCATTCTTGGAGACTGACTGCCAGATCCCTGCAGGGTTGTTGGTTTTTTTTTGACATTTTCAGAAATGGTTTGCCATTGCCTCTTTCCTAGGGCTGAGAGAAAGTATCTGGCCTCATGTCAACTAGTTGACTTTATGCCTAGATTCTCCTGATTTCTAGCTTGATGCCTTAGCCACTACACCAAACTGTCTCTCAATTCTTGATGTAAAGAAACATGGACACTCTCAGTCATAAGACAAATGAGGAAAGACAAAAGACTTCAAAGTCTTCCCAGGCATCAAATACCAATAGCTCAAAATTCAATCCACTTATCTCCAATGAAAAGCAGCAATGAGTGCAGAACTGCTTTCTCTTTTGGGGGCTTTTAGTTGTGCTACTTTTGTTGTAAATTATACTTTCTGTACAGGTAGTCCTTGACTTATGACCACAGCTGAGCCCAAATTTCTGTTGTTAAGTAAGACATTTGTTAAGTGAGTTTTGCCCCATTTTACGATCTTTTTTGCCATAGTTGTTAAGTGAATCACTCCAGCTGATAAGTTAGTAACCCAGTTGTTAAGTGAATCTGGCTTCCCCATTGGCTTTGGTTGTCAAAAGATTGCAGAAGATGATCACATGACCTTAGAACACAGCAACAGTCCTAAGTATGGATCAGTTGCCAAGCATCTAAATTTTGATCACATGATCATGGGGATGCTACAAAGTTGTAACTGTGAAAAATGGTCATAAGTCACTATTTTCAGTGCCATTGTAACTTTGAACAGTCACTAAATGAACTGTTGTAAGTCGAGGACTACCTGTATACTGTTAGGCAAAATGTTTCCAGGAGAAAAAGCTACAAAATATGCATATGGACATTTTATGTCAGCCATCGTACGATATGTCTCTTTGAGCCACAGGGAAACTGCACCAGCCATTGCTAATTGTGACATGTTTAGGTCACGCTAATATATTTTATTCCTACATTAGAAATTCCACTGTTGAAAGGGCCCTTCCATAAAACAAAAGACAGCTGGGGCAGCATTAAAACCATTTACAATTATGTATAGTATTTCTTTCAGATTAAGGGAACAACTGAGGATGCTTTTCTTCTGCTTCCTCTTTGGAAGGTTAAGGTTATACCTGCAATTTTGGAGCTTTTTTGTTTTGTTTTGTTTTGTTTTGTTTT